GTAAAAGGGAGATAATGATAAAACATTTTCAGTCTGCTTCATCACCTGCAAAGAGATAGAAAAAGAACAGCACAACCAACAGACCTGGTACGAGATATACAATAACGTAACACCTAGATACTATTGTGTTAGTAGTTTTATTTAATCTGACATGTACCCTGTGTTACCTGAAGATAAGAGTGTGGGCTTTCTGTATGGAAGTTGTCGAGTTAAAAAAAATATGAGCGTTGAGAGTTGATATTATAGGAAGAAAGGTTTTATTTTACTCTGCAGAGGAGAACACACAACCAGCCTAAATGCAGTTCAGTGATGTTCTGAAGCTGCAACATTCTCACCCCTACATAAAAAGGGGACTACACACACACATTTAGTCTTCAAATGACAGAGATAACAATTGTTTCCCGTTCACACCAGGACGTGAGAATCCTGACTTCCTTTCAAACCTCCTTCCACTTACAAACAGGCCAAACAAAAATACCATTCCACAAAGTGAATCTTTGAGTACCTGGAACCAAGCACCTGTAGTTGTTTGTGAGAGTTCACTTGTGCATGTAAAGCATGTAGAGTCCAGCACCGGGAGACCCAAAGCCCTAGAGACCCAAAGGGACCCCAAGAGCGAAGGCGCCAATGAGGGGCCAACCCAGAAAATCCGACCCCCACCAAGGGAGGAGGAGAGACAGCCTCGAGGAAGTTCCCCAGCAACTGCAATGCCGGAACCCCCAGAAGCCACAGAGACAAGTCTGTGGGCTCCGCTGACAGCCATCCACCCAGAAGTTAATCCGGCCATGGGCCCAAGGGATCCAAGGGCCCCACCCCCCGGCAGAAGCCCCAGCTGGGCCCCGGCTCGCCAGGCCTAGCGGAAAAGCCGCCAGGGGCAAGCCAGTAGCCACCCGGGCTTCCACCCCCAAACTCCAAGCTCCACCAGAGGCATCAGATTAAACATCAGCTGCAGCTCAGTCAGACCAAAGCTTCAGTTTGAATCTAAAGATGTTTAAGGAGATATTTATGGGAGCTCTACAGTCAATTAGATTCAGCTCAGAATCTTGGAGATTATCTTCTCGTGAAGCAGAGCAACAGGCTACAAAAATATACAAGGTTCCGTTGGAACCGCAAACAGGAAGTCCGTTCTTCATCTGATCCAGAACTGAAACCCAAACAGCTTCTACAGAGCAGAACAGAAGCGATTCTACTGTAGACTGGAGGCTGATACCAGGGTCCACTTTGGACCGAGTTATTCTGAGCCTCAGCAGAGCTGGGTTTGGGTGCTGAATCTGAATGTTCTTTTCAGGTTCTTGTGTCTGCAGCAGCACAGTTCAGGTTAAACCTTCTCCTCCGATGTTCTGCTGCTGGTTTGAAACACCTTTGTCTCAGCATTAATCTAAAGAGGGCTCCCCACAGACCGCCGCTTTCATCAATTCTGCTCTCCAACGTCTGCTTGTTGGAAAACAAATTGGATAATCTCCGATTCAAACTCTCTTCAAAAAAGAGGATATGTAACCTCTGCACCATCATTTTGACTGTGTCATGGCTGCATCCAGCAATACCAGACAATGCTATTAGCCTGGAGGGGCTAACACTATACCGCTCCGATAGAAACAAAGAGCTCTGCGGTAAGACTCGGGGTGGTGGGCTCTGTTTACATCAATAACAGCTGGTGCAAGAATTCTAGATCGGTTGCCAGCTTCTGCTCTCCAGACATCAAGTTTCTGACTGTTAACTGCAGTTCGTTCTATCTGCCCAGAGAGTTCAGTGTGGTTAGCATCACTGCTGTTTATGTGCCCCCCAGCGCTAACACTAAAGAGGCCATGAAGACTATATACCAGGCTATCTCTGAGCTCCAATCTGCACACAGATTGCTGGGGATTTTAACCAGGCTAACATTAAGACTGTTCTCCCTCATTTCTACCAACATGTGGACTTTGCAACTCGGGGTGAAAACACTTTAGACCTAGTTTACTCTAACATAAAAAATGCATTCAGAGCAGCCCCCTGCCCCCACCTCGGGTCATCAGATCACATATCTGCCATCCTTATCCCTGCATATAAGTCCCAGCTGATCAGGGCTAAACCGACAGTTAAAGAGGTCAGAGTGTGGTCTGAGGGGGCCATGGAGACACTCCAAGACTGTTTTGAATGCTCTGACTGGAACATCTTCAAGGCTGCAGCAACATATGATAACTTATTAAATATTGATGAGTATGTGTTGGGTTCAAATCCAGAGAAATGTGAGTTTAAGAGGACGAAATGATCAAACACAGACAGGGATTTGCAACGTCAGCCTCTGCACAGGGGAGAAGAACTGCTGGCTCACAACCAGCACCTTTTCTCCCAGTTCCCTTCACAGCAGAGCCTTTTATTAACAGTTTACAACATAATAGGGCGGGTCTTAAACAGAAGACCCTGTAATGATTATCTGGCAG